CGGCGGTGATAATCAGTGGGTGGTGGTTAGGTGTATGTTTTAAATATACGAAAAAGATGATCAAATGCTATTCTAAAATGGGTGGGACAAGATAATTTATTATATAATTTTTAATAGGTTAATAATAAAAACATTATAAATAAATGAAAAAAGAAAAATATAAGGGTAGAATAGTCTTTTTATGGCACCAGGGACGAAACATGCAACGTTTTACGATATGAGGGACGATCCGAGTTAATTTTTGAAAATAGGGACTAAACACGCTTTCTGGCACATGCACGAGGGATGATTGGTGTAATTTACCCTTTTATAAATAACATGTTTGGAAATTGGAATGGATCATTATCAACATAACATAATTTTTTTTTATAGGAAATTATGATTTAGATTGAAATACCAGTTTCAAGTTCGGAATTCTGAATTTTGAAAAAATAAATAAAAGAAAACTGAAATTTCAAAAGCAAATTCGAAGTCAGATAAACTATTCCAAAATTTTGAGAAATACTGCGTTTTAAAAAAAATAACAAAAAAAAAGAGAGAAAGAAACATAACGAATTAAAAGTATAAACAATAGAATGGCTTAAAGTGTGTAAGAAATATTTACAAATTAAGAAAAAATGTTATAAGAAGATAACAAATATTTAAAGCGTTTAAAATTTTTATCATCGTGACCGCTTATAACAAATTAAACAATTCAAAGTTTGGATTAATGTTTATTTGTAAACTAAAAAAATATTATCAATTATGAAAAAATGTTATAAGAAGGTAACAAAATATTTAATGTGTTTAAAAAATATAATCGTGACCTCTAATAACAAATTAAACATGTGAAAGTTTGGGTTAATATCAAAATAACTTAACAAGTTATTTATTTGTTAACTGAGAAATATTATCAAAAATGTAACGATCTAATTAAAACTTTATATAGTATAGTTATTCCAAGTCTTTTTGTTTTCTTTTTCATTAGTAGTTAACAGGTCAAAGTTCTGCCAGTTTAATTCTCAAAATTTTGTCAGGAAAATCTTTGTAAGTTAAGCTACACTTATATTACTTCCAGTGTAACTTATATTTATGTTCATAGCCGTTATTATAAATCTATAGATAAGATTTATCAATGAGTCCAAATCATTATAATGATTGATCTACTTACGAAAACGATGTCTAGATTGTATTTAGTGAGGTGTTTAAAATGAGATTTCCAAACAATATAATCTATATACGAAACAGACGCTACCTTTGATATGATCTCACCTGGTTGTTCTTTACTTGATATATCTTGATATAGACATTGAGATTACTGAGGAATCTACATTATCATTAGTCATAATAAATATGAGACTAAGACATAGTAAAAATCGTACCTAGTTCACGTCAAGGGAAACATCGAGGTGTTAAGCGAAATGCTACCCAAATTTCGAGACATCCACTCTTAAGAAGTGAGTGCATAGTTACTTTCATATTATGAATAGATATGAAGTATTTAACTACTTAGATGTTATGTGTGCCTCTTTTCTATATTTACTTATGCTCAATATGGCTTACTTTTTATTATACAAAAAGTATATTAGGTAGTAAATGGTTATAGAAAGTAAAATATGATGAGGGATTGTAGCCAGCATGATATTAGTGTACTACGAGGGATTAGTAATCTAGTAGGTTATAAAGAATGACCATAGACTATTCTAGACAATTATGGTCAAACATGGACATGTTCGCAAGCTGTAGATGTTTATAAGTAATACATGGACATGTTTATATGGACAGGTTTACAACTTGTAGGTGTTAATCAATCATACATGGGCAAGTTTTCGACCTGTAGATGTATATAAGTCATGCTCGTACAGGAGCATGTATACAACCTGTAGGTGTTAACAAATCGTTACGTGGACAAGTTTATGACTTGTAGGCAATGATGAATCGCATGTGGGAAGGTCTACATCCTATAGGTGTTGCTAAAATAGTACATGGACAGGTTTACAACCTGTAGGTGTTAATCAATCATACAAGGGCATGTCTTCGACTTATAGATGTATATAAGTCATACACGGGCACATATATAACTTGTAGGTGTTAATAAATTGTTTTGCAGGCAGGTCTACGCCCTATAGGCAATGAATAATCACATGCGGATAGGTATACAACGTATAGGTGTTGCTAAATTATACATGTGCAGATGTTCAACCTATAGATGTAAAGGAACCACACACAGACAAGACTACGAACTGTAGGTATGAATGGACTATTCATGTAGGTACTGTGTTCACCCCATGGTTGTGTTATTAGCCAATATTGCTAAGGAATCCCTAAAGTAGTATTGTTCACTTAGAGATCCTTTAGGATAGTTCCCTTGAGATCATCGGTTTAGGACCAAGGAGTGAGATTAACGGGAACGAGTAATCGAGTTATTTTTCTGATGCGAAATATATAATTATAACAAATTAATTATAATATTTTGGTTTGAAATTGAAAGATCTAGCATGCTCAAGAGTCATATTAAAGTGATATTTCTAATTAATATATGATACTAATGGGTCACACTAACAACAACTTGAGATAATTCATTATTTATCAGAAATTGATTTCAATAAATATTCAATTAACTTTTATAATTAATTGGAAGTTATTTACTTCTTGGAAATAATATTTTTCATTAGCAAGTAACATAATGTATACATACATATATATATATATATATATATATATATATATATATATATATATATATATATATATCATATGGTATGGTTTATAGGTCATGTAAAACATTTTGGACTAGATAAATCCTTTTTTCTTTTACCAAAAAGTTAAAGTTTATATTTTATAAACTAGTTTATAAAATCTATAAACTTTGTCTTATTTTTGTTCTAATTTTTGAAATATGGGAAAGACAAAAGAAGGAATGGATTTTTGATTATATTAATGAAAAGCATGACTAGTTTTACAAGCATGAGGGACATGTTTGTATAAAGTGATAAAGTGTTAAGTGGTTAAACACTTATGGACTTTATTCTTACTTTAAAAGCTAGCATCAAAGGCTTTCATTTTGGTTCTTATTTAGTGCACAAAACCGGAAGTGTGAGACTCTCTCATTTTGTTCATCCTTTTGAAGAAAAACCTGCTTTTACTCTCTTAAAGTTCATAAGACTAGCATCATAATCAAGTTGTGTTCTTGTTGGTGTGTCATAGGTTCCACATTCTCCATCAACTTCTAAGCCTACCAAGAGGACCCAAAGAATTACAAAGGTAGTAGTCGAAGTGTTGAATAGTTTGTCAATATCGAAGGTCTTCACGACTTCGATATTGTATGCATTTTATCAGGCACTCATGTAGTTTATCTTTAACCACCGAAGTCCTGATATAGTTTTTGTATCCATCGAGTACACTATAAATAGTGTAGGTACCTAAGTCATTTGGAACTTTTTCAACTTGTGCATCGTGCTTATTTTCTCTCACAAATGTACTTGTACTATCTCCGGATTATATGAGATGAATCAAGATTTTATTTACATCTAGTGTTCATTTTAATTCTAATTTCTTATATGGTTGATTTCTTAACACTTCAATTGGTATCAGAGCAGGAATCGACAAATTGATTGAGGAATCTTTGTTGAGAGAAAAACTTGAACAAATGTTAGTCACAAGATAATATGATTCGGAATAAAAGTTAATCTCGAGGATCTTGTTAGCTCAACAATAATAAGTTAAGTGAGTTAGAGGTCAGATGCAGAAATGTAAAGAAAATATAAATGACAACAAGTTATATCAAGTAGACACCAAGTTGATTCATAACAAGGTTTGCATTCAAACACAAGTTAGAAAATGTGATCAACTTAATATGAAGAGGGACTCAGATTATCAGTTAATATAAAGATAAAGATGCACGATCTTTGTATTTCAAATGAAGTTCAGAAATACGTGTTGAGTACATGAAGATGGATGCTCTATTTACAGAGTCCTAAAAGTTATATTTAGAAATAAAGAAATAATAAACAACTGACTACAGTGACCATGAAAGCTTCACTAGACAATACAAAGTAAGCAAGTAATGTCATGAAAAGTAAACAGTCTTCATGCATCGTCCATCTCTACGGTTGATCTTCACATCTACGGTTGGCATACAATGAAAGTAATATTCGGTTCCATTCTTCTCTATGGTACCATCAAGTCTTCAACTCTTTGCTTCCTTAGCAGAAGAGGGTCACTTTTTTGTTTCAACAATTTCCCCCTAAGTGACCTCTAAGCTATTTTCTTCAATTGACCAACTTTAGAAACTTGAGGATAATCCACCAGAACTTTCTCACTTCAAACAGCCGTGGAACCCTCCTTGTGATTTCGAACTTTACTTGATCAAATGTGTTCTTTGATCTTTGCACTGAAGTTGGAGTAACATCAAGTTGTTTCTTTGTAAGGCAATAGATGGCTGAAACCGGGATCAAGTAGTTTGGTCCATCTTGAGCTCTTTTGTATACAACTCCTAGCTCAGGATAGGTTGTTGCACCCAGTGACATTTCCTAGAACCCTTTAGTGACAGTTGATACTTGCTTGAATGGAGGAAAGTTGAATTTGTAGTCAAGGACTAGATGTATCTCTACATCAATCTTTCCAAAGTTATAGACCAATGCCTTCAAGAACTCACATGCAGGTTCAAAGGAAGCTTTCGTCTTCGGGTACTTTTCAGCTTTTAGCTGAAATACTCGTGCTATCAGGAAAATATCCTCTGGTTTCATGCAAACAAAATCATCATGAGATCTGATGTACTCACTTCCTCTTCGGGTCAATGTGTATTGGAAGAGTTCACATTTCATGAACTTCGTTGCTTTGTACATCTTGACTCCGTCTGGTCTATCATTTGAACATATATTTTCAATCTTTGAACCATGTTTAGCACGGAACAGGTTCAGGCGTTCAAAATCCATAGGGAGTCTGTAGTCATCGGGAATGCGTAAGTCTAGATGCAGAAATACCAGGAAGAACATGTAGTTTGGAGAAATGGGGATGTCCTAATAGCTCTCTGATGGAGGTACTGTGTATGTGAGACGAGGGACATAATCAGCATCTAGAAGTCTGCAGTTTGAATTTACCCAAGAATTGATCAATGTTTCGTCGAAAGTTGTGTCGAACCCTTGTTCCTTCCAGATTTCATCTGCAAACTTGGCTGCTCTCCAATATTTTTTCTTTTGGGTAGTCGTCGGAGAGTCATTTGAGTGGTCTGAAGACATTAGTTCTTCTTCTTCTTCTTCTTCTTCTTCTTCTTCTATGTTCATGGAACTGTGAGTAGGATATTGATGTAGAGATTCATGAGGTTTTTGCGGAGGAGGCTTTTGTGGTGTCACACCCCCGAACCAGATGGCAGAAACAACCAAGGGCTCACGTGACTTAAATTAAAATATCATCACAATGAATATACATGAACAACACATACATCACCAACATTACATAGTACAACTGACACTGCTCACATCAAGTACATTGTTTAAACATTACACATCCATAACATAAATTGTTTGAGAATTTTTCAAGACGTAACATCCTAACACACTTGATATTCTTCTTCGGCTTATCTGTTACCTGAAAATACAAATTATTTTGAAAACGTCAACATATACAATGTTGTTAAGTTCATAAGCATGTTTGATATAAAACTTGTTTGTATCGTTTGTAAAACCCAGAAAATCCGATATTTTCTGTTCAAAAACCGTTTGCGAAAAGATGCGATGATCCCATAAGTGCATGTGTATGTGATTTCAAAACAAGTAAAAGTGATTGTTATTCAAAATTGATTATCGTATTATAGTTGTTGTGTATAGGAGTGAATAATGTTTTTCCCCCGGAAAACCCGATGTTTTCCGATATAAATAGTATGATAGTTTTATATTATTGTATCGTCACAACAAATGAATATGTTTTCCCCTGATTACTTAGATGGTGTTGGATCTCTATGTAAGTCGTTATAACCATGCATAATAATGACTAGTTCGTCTGTCTTGGCATTCAAGCGAATGCCGTGATTTATTTAAGATTTTGTCACCTTAGACTGGCCGAGTCTAACTGTAGCGAACAACTCAGGTGTGGGGGAGTCACCCCCGTATAGATCTATACACAAACTCTCGTTCTCCCTCCAGGAGACTCTGGTTATAACTACAAACTACGACCGACACTTAATAGTGTCACCCGTTATTTCCCACTAAATCCAACTAAATTTGAATAACCTTGTTTATCAACCAAAATTTATGTTTACTTGAATAACAGAGATAAGCATAACAGACGAAGAGAAAAGGGCAGCAGAGGCCCAATAATCATGTATGTTATTATAGGCTGTTGAGTATAAGAAAGGCACGTTGGCCCATCATGCATATGTTTGATTTGGACCTTAATAGCAATGTCAATGGGCCACTGAGGCCCAATAGCATGTAAAAGGCATTGAGGGTCCCATAGGCATGTAATTGGGTCATAGGAGGCCCAATAAACATGTGTGAATATATTAGGCCCACTAAACATGATATTGGGCCACAAAGGCCCAATAGCACATATAGAAGGTATTTGAGCCCAACTTTTGAATCGCTTATGTTTTATCGAGTTTAAGTTCGTATTGTTGGTATTCGTGGTATGTTAAATTTTTATTCGTAATAACGAAACATTTTAACGTTTGATTTATAACGAAGTTTTTATTATATGTATATATATATTTAAAACTATGCGTTATAAACTTGATATTTTTAACCCCAAAAGTTATAATCGTGTATTTGGACCAAAAACATTTAGATTAACCATTATGGCACCTTATTTTCTAAAACTGACAGTTTTATTTCCTATTTACGAAAATTTATATTTTTGGTCCTTAAACCATTTTTATTGACATATTCCATGTAACTTTATTTGAATAGTAATTTTAGTCCAAAACTATTGCATTTGTCATTTCCAAACTTTATTTGCACAAAGTTACATTTTTGTTCCAATTTCCGTAAGTTTTACAATTTTGACCCCAAAATCAAAAACTTTGCATTTTTAGTCCAAATTTGGTAATAAACTCGTTTTTAACCCCTAAAAATTTTATTTACATTTTAGACCCATAGTTTGTTAAGTTTTCCAATTCAACCCCTCTGAATCTCATTTTTTTGTAACTTTGGGCCAAAAACCCATTAGGCCCACTTTTAAGCCCGTTAAGCTAAAATTTAAGTTTTTTACCCTTTGAAAAGTGTGGTTTTCATAAAAATAAGCTTTTATGGTAATAAACAACTTATCACCCTCATAAAACTAACACATTAAAATTTATACCCAATATTTTTTATTTTTATAAGGTTCCTTTGGTTTTGTTTTTCAGTTTTTAAACTTAAAGACCCTTAGATCCATGATGTATGTTCTTTATTATGTTTTTGTTCATGATTATTTCACCCTTTTTGTTATAGTTCTCGAAATATAACAAATATTTCATATTATCACAACCAAAAACTAAAGAATTCACATATAGCATGCAAACACACATAGATCATCACACAATACTTGTATTCTCCCCCCAAAAACAAGTAAAAACAAAAAACAATGGGGTATGAACTCACCTTGCTTTGTTGTTCACGGTCTAGAAGAAGAAATGGAAGAAGATTTTGGTCCTAGCAAACTTTCTTGAGTGGATTTCGAACTTAAGAAGTTCTAGGAAGCAAAATCACCAAAACTTTGCTTAAAAGAGTGATCTATCAAGAGAATGGAATTATAAAACTTGGAGGTGTAAAGAATTACCAAGAAATGATGATTATCTTGTGAAAACCTCTTGAAACACAAGCAAAAGTCTTGAGAATTTTGGATGAAAAAGATGAATGAGTCTTGACAGAATTAGAGAGAGTTTGTTGTGATGTGTGTGTGTGTGTTTGGGGGCTCTCGGCCGAGTAGAAGAAGAGAGGGGGTAGAGTGTGTGGTGAATGAATAGCTTAGATACTTGGAGGATATTGCATGGGTGTATAATGGACAAAATAAAGGTGGCACTCCAAAGTCAACCCTCCCCCTTTAATTCTCGTTTTCTCTTTTTTTTTACTTGTGCTGAAATGGGATAACAAAGGAAAGAAGGAATGAATTAGTTTGGGCAACTTAAATCCTTGGTTCGAGATTATGATGTTTATGGAAAAGATTTTCGGCCCATTAGGCCTTTAGGGGTATTCACGACCCAATTTTGTATAAAAGAATGGATTTATGGTCCATGAAAGCTAATTAAGTCAACTATGGCCCAATAAGGCCCATTAAGGTAAACCAATTCATTTTTGGATTCATTATGGCCCAAAATGTTAAGTTTTATGAAGGTGGGTCCAATTAGGGCCCATTTAAGGGTCCTAAGCCCAAAATAGTCAAATTGGAAGCTTATTGGTCCATTACGCCCAATAAGGAAATCCTAGTCCATAATGGACTTAAACCAGGATTCCTAGGGTTTCCAACCATTTGTTGACTATTTGAGTGTTTGATGGAATTTTGCTGTCACTGAATAAGCATCATACACATAGTTTTAGTTACAATGTTGTCCTTGTTTGATGTTTACAAAGCCTTAGAATTCCTAGTTGTGACATCATCCCCCCGTTAGAGGGAATTTTGTCCTAAAATTCTTTTTGAAGCTAGATTTGAGAATGCGAGAATAGGTGAGGGTACTTTTGCTTCATCTGGTCTTCGCATTCCCATGTGAATTCCGGTCGACGTATCGTGTTCCACCAAACTTTAAGAATCGGAATGCAACTTTGCTTAGCACGCTTCACTTCCATGTCCATGATTTCAACCGGTTCTTCGATGAACAGGAGATTCTCGTTGATTTTGATTTCTTCCAGTGGGATGATGAGAGTTTCGTCGAATAAGCACTTCTTCAAATTGGAAACATGGAACATGGGGTGTACACTGTTGAGCTCGGCAGGTAGCTGCAGTCTATAAGCCATTGGACCGATTCGGGCAAGAATCTCGAATGGTCCAATGTATCATGGGTTTAGTTTTCCCCGTTTCCAAAAATCAATCACCCTTTACAGGGAGAGACCTTTAACAACACCCGATCCCCAACTTGAAATTCCTAGGGCTTTCGCCATTTATCAGCGTAGCTCTTCTGCCGGTCTCGTGATGCTTGTAGTTGAGCTCTGATTTGAATTATCTTCTCTGTCGTTTCGCGTATGATTTCTGGTCCTGTTAATGTATTGTTTGGTGTTTGACCTCTCGCTAGCTGAGTGTCACCTACCTCAGCCCAACACAACGGTGATATACATTTATGCCCATATAATACTTCAAAGGGAGCAACATTGACGCTTGAGTGATAATTGTTGTTGTACGAAAATTCAATTAAAAGAAAGTGGGTATCCCATGACCTTCCAAAGTCTATCACATATGCGCGAAGCATATCTTCAAGCGTTTGAATGGTTCGCTCATTTTAACCATCCGTTTGTGGGTGGTAGGCAATGCTCGTGTTGAGTTGTGTTCCCACATCTTTCTGAAGCGATTGCCAGAAGCGTGAAGTGAATATACTATCTCGGTTTGAGATGATAGATATTAGTACTCCATGGAGTCTCATGATTTCCTTGATGTAAGTTCTTGTCAATCATTCCATCTTGTATGAGTCCTTTATTGGCAGCAAATGAGCGGATTTTGTCAACCTGTCGACTATTACCCATATGGTATCCAATCCCTATGTAGTCTTGGGTAATTTGTTCACAAAGTCCATAGTAATCATTTCCCATTTTCACTCGCGTATTACCGGTTGTTGTAATAGTCCTGAGGGCTTCAGATATTCTACCTTCACTTTAGCGCAAGTAAGACATTTGCTAACGTAGGTGGCAATTTCTGCCTTCATGTTAGGCCACTAATAATGTTGCTTGATATCCAAGTACATTTTATCTAAACCCGGATGGATAGAGTATCGTGTCTTATGGGCTTCATTCATGACTACCTCTCTGAAATAATGTGCTCTGTTCATGAAATAATGTGCACCGTTCTCCTTGACTTCGAATCTCTTTTCCCTTCCACGTAACGCTTCGCTTGTTTTGTTCTCTGTCTTCATGGCATCGAACTGGGCTGCTTTGATTTGCGAGGACAGATGGGATTGAATGGTTATTGAAAGAGTCTTCACACGGCGATTTGAGTATTCATTCCGACTCAATGCATATCTACCACGTTCGCCTTGCTTGGGTGGTACTTGATTTCGCACTCATAATCGTTTAGCAGCTAAACCCATCTTCCATGCCTCATATTTAACTCCTTTTGATTTAAAATTTGTTGGAGACTCTTGTGGTCGGTGAAGATGGTGCACTTCGTACCATAAAGGTAGTGCCTTCAAATCTTCAAGGCAAAAAACACAGCTCCCAATTTGAGATCATGATTGGTATAATTCACCTCATGTGTCTTTAGTTGTCAGGACGCATAAGCTATCACCTTCCCACGTTGCATGAGTACACAGCCTAAACCTTGATTCGAAGCATCACAGTAAACTACAAAGTCCTTTGTTCCTTTTGGTAATGATAGTAATGGTGCAGTACAGAGAGCTTGCTTCAGAGTTCAGAAGGAAACCTCCTACTTTTCTGTCCATTCAAATGGCACACCCTTTTGTGTAAGCATTGTAAGTGGCTTGGGTGTTTTGAAGAAGTTCTAAATGAATCTCCTGTAATAGCTTGCTAGAACTAAAAATTGACGAATTTCAGTGGGTTTCGTTGGGACTGCCCATCCTTCAATGGCTTTGATCTTAGAAGGGTCCACATGTATCCCTTCTTGATTGACCGCATGACCTAAAAAGTTTACGCTACGGAGCCAGAACTCACACTTAGAGAATTTTGCATATAACTTTTCGGTTCGTAGGGTGTCCAAGATTTGTCGGAGATGTTGGCTATGCTCCTCTTTGCCTCGAGAATAGACTAGGATATCGTCGATGAAAACAATGACAAAGTTGTCTAGGAATGGTCGGCAGATCCGATTCATCAGGTCCATGAATGCGGCAGGGGCATTCGTTAGACTGAAGGGAATTACAACAAATTCATAACGTCTGTACCGAGTTCGGAAAGTAGTCTTGGGGTTTGGAGTGCCTTGATATGCGATCACTCGTTGGTTTCCATGGTCGTTAGTTCGACTGGTGTTGTCGATGCTATTTCCTCCTCTGTTAGTGTTGTTTGCATTGAGTTGTGCCATAGCAGCAGGTACGACAGCGGTGACAGCAACTTGGAATGTAGTAAAGTCCATTTGCAAGAGTGGTGTTTCAAGGGTGTGCCCGTTATTTCTATGGAATGACATCTTTTGCTGCATGATGATAAGTAGGTTCGTAAGTAACGACGGCCATTCCTTGTGGTGCTTTGAAATTTTTGTGTTTTTTCATATGGTTCACAATGTTTCGATCTATATCCCTATGGTGTGTTTATAATAGTAGGAAATTTTTAAACTTGTCACAAATATTAAGTCTTATTCATAGAGTTCATAGGTTATTTTGGTTTCAAGGTTCTTGAGTATCTAACGGTTTCAATGGTTTGTTTGTGCACATAAGCGAAACCTCATATTTAAACATATAGCATTTCTGCTAGTAATAGCCATTTTTAATACAGGAAAATTTGCCTGAAGGACAATCATTTCATAGGAAAATGTACGATCCGACAGTATTACGACATAATATCCATAGAAACACAATACTAGTAGGAGGTACGGCTGGTTCTACATACTGTAGGACCTATAATGGCAAGTAGTAGAGTACGTCTTATCAGTTATGATGACGACGACACTCAATTGTCAAGTTGACGTACCAAGAGTTCAGCTAGTTCGTTCACCTCCTGGGTGATTACTTCTTCCCGTTGCTCGGCTTGAACGGCTCTAGCTTCAGCCACAAAGAGTTGACGCTTGAGATTGGCTATTTCCTTCTCAAGAGAGTGTATGTAGTCTGTATCACTTTCCTGAATCGTGTGTGGGCCTGATAGGGGTTCCAATGGGTGGGGTTTACTAGGTGTCTCCTTAACGTTCTTTCCTTCATCTGACTCCTAGTCATAATCATCATATTCGTAATCAGTTACCACGTACTCTTTCGGTCCCACTCTGGGTCCCACCTCTTGACCCATTGCAAGGCCTCCTTCAGGGTTTTCTTCAGGATTGTCATCTAGACCAACCTCAATCTCCCCATAGACTACTAGAGCGTGATGGTAAGGGTCGTCTTGTTGTATTCCCGCCATATTGCCTACGTGGGAGGTGTAGGTGTGAGAAGTGTGTGCATTGAGGTGTATAAACTACTATTATTCCTAAGATGTTTTAGTTGTTATTTAAGTTGAGTTGATGCTCTCTTCATGGAAATCAAAAGGGTATGTTTTAGGTTTACCGACCATCGCGGTCACTTCAAGGCATGTGATAGTTGTATTCTGGAGGAAATGTAGTTGATCAGGCTACATTCGCGCCTTAATATAACTGTGAACAGTCCTGGCTTAACCGAGATGTCAGGATCATCTTATTTGATTTGGTCTTATGTTCATTTTCCTAAGTCGCACAAGTAAGAGGGTTTATTATTATATTTTTATTTGTTTTGTTTAGAGTTATTTAGTCCCTCTTTGGGTTTATAGTTTCATATCAATGTGTGGTTAGATAGCCAGTTCACTATAAACAGAGCTCTGATATCAACCTGTCACACCCCCTGAACTAGATGGCGGAAACATCTGAGGGCTCGCGTGACATAAATTGAAATATAATCAAAATGAATATACATGAACAACACATACATCACCAACATTACATAGTACAACTTGCATTGTTCACATCAAGTACATTGTTTAGACATTACACATCCGTAACAAAAATTGTTTGAGAATTTTTCAAGACATAACATCGTAATATACTTGATATTGTTCTTCGGCTTATGTGTTATCAGAGAATACAAGTTATTTTGAAAACGTCAACATATATAATGTTGTTAAGTTCATAAGCATGTTTGATATAAAACTTGTTTGTATCATTTGTAAAACCCAGAAAATCCAATATTTTCTGTACAAAAACCGTTGGCGAAAAGATGCGATAATCCCATAAGTGCATGTGTATATGATTTCAAAACAAGCAAAAGTGATTGTTATTCAAAATTGATTATCGTATTATAGTTGTTGTGTATAGGAGTGAATAATGTTTTTGCCTTGGAGAACCCGATGTTTTCCGATATAAATAGTATGATAGTTTTATATTATTGTATCGTCACAACAAATGAATATCTTTTCCCCTGATTAGTTAGATGGTGTTGGATCTCTGTTATAACCATGCATAATAATGACAAATTCGTTTGTCTTCGCATTCTAGTGAATGCCGTAATTGATTTAAGATTTTGTCACCCTAGACTGGCCGAATCTAACTGTAGCGAACAGATCAGGTGTGGGGGAGTCACCCCCGTATAGATCTATACACAAACTCTCGCTCTCCCTCCAGGAGACTCTTGTTATAACCACAGACTACGACCGGCACTTAATAGTGTCACCCGTTATTTCCCACTAAATCCAACTGAATTTGAATAACCTTGTTTATCAACCAAATTTTATGTTTACTTGAGTAACAGAGAAAAGCCTAACAGATGAAGAGAAGAGGGCAGCAGAGGCCCACTAATCATGTATGTTATTATAGGTTGTCGAGTATGAGAAGGGCACGTTGGCCCATCATGCATATGTTTGATTTGGACCTTACTAGCAATGTGAATGGGCCGCTGAGGCCCAATAGCATGTAAAAGCCATTGAGGGTCCCTTAGACATGTAATTAGGTCGCAAGAGGCCCAATAAATGTGTATGAATATATCAGACCCACTAAACATGATATTGAGGCACAAAGACCCAATAGCACATATAGAAGGTATTTGAGACCAACTTCTGAATCACTTATGTTTTATCGAGTTTAAGTTCGTATTGTTGGTATTCGTGGTATGTTAAATGTTTATTCGCAATAACAAAACATTTTAACGTTTGATTTATAACGACGTTTTAATTATATGTATATATATATTTTTAAAACTATGCATTATCAACTTGATATTTTTAACCCCAAAAGTTATAATCGTTTATTTGGCCCAAAAACGTTTAGATTAACCATTATGGCACCTTTTTCTATAAAAATAACAGTTTTAGTCCCTTTTTACGAAAATTTACATTTTGGTCCTTAAACCATTTTTATTGACATTTCCACCAAAACTTTATTTGAATAGTAACTTCGGTCCAAATCTATTGCATTTGTCAAGTCCAGCCTTTATTTGCAAAAAGTTACATTTTGGCCCAATTCTGTAAGTTTTACAATTTTGACCACAAAATCAAAAACTTTGCATTTTTAGTCTAAATTTGGTAATAAACTCATTTTTAACCGCTGGAAAGTTTATTTACATTTTAGACCCATAGTTTGTTAAGTTTTCCAATTCAGCCCCTCTAAATCTCATTTTTTTAGCAACTTTGGGCCCAAAACCCATTAGGCCCACTTTTAAGCCCATTAAGCTAAAATTTATGTTTTTGACCCTTTGAAAAGTGTGGTTTTCATAAAAATAAGCTTTTATGCAAATAAACAACTTATAATGCTCATAAAACCGACAAATTAAAATTTATACCTAATCTTTGTTATTTTTGCAAAAATGACACTTGTAAGGTTCCTTTGGTTTTATTTTTCACTTTTTAAACTTAAAGACCCTTAGATCAATGATGAATGTTGTTTATTATATTTTTGTTCATGATTATTTCACCCTTTTTGTTATAGTTCTCGAAATATAACAAATATTTCATATTATCACAACCAAAAACTAAAGAATTCACGTATAGCATGCAAACACACATAGATCATCACTTAATACTTGTATTCTCCCCCCAAAAACATGTAAAACCCGAAAATAATGGGGTATGAACTCACTTTTCTTTGTTTTTCACGGTCTAGAAGAAGAAATGGAAGAAGATTTTGGTCCTAGCAAGCTTTCTTGAGTGGATTTCGAACTTAAGAAGTTCAAGGAAGCAAAATCACCAAAACTTTGCTTAAAATAGTGATTTATCAAGAGAATGGAATTATAAACTTGGAGGTCTAAAGACTTACCAAGAAATGATGATAATCTTGTGAAAGCCTCTTGAAACACAAGCAAAAGTCTTGAGAATTTTGGATGAAACAGATGAATGAGTCTTGAGAGAATTAGAGGGAGTTTGTGATGATATGTGTGTGTGTTTGGGGGCTCTCGGCCAAGTAGAAGAAGAGAGGGGAGAGAAAGAGTGGTGAATGACTAGCTTGGATACATGGAGGATCCTGTATGGGTGTATGATGGACAAAATGGAGGTGGCAGTCCAAAGTCAACCCTCCCCCTTTAATTCTCTTCTTCTCTCTCTCTTTTTTTTTTACTTGGGCCGAAATAGGCTAACAAAGGAAGGAAGGAATGAATTAGTTTGGGCCACTTAAATCCTTGGTTCGAGATTATGATGTTTATAGACAACATTTTCGGTCTATTGGACCTTTAGGGGTGTTCACGGACCAATTTTGTATAAAAGAATGGACTTATGGTCCATGAAAGTTAATTAAATCAACTATGGCCCAATATGGCCCATTAAGGTAAACCAATTCATTTTTGGATTCATTATGGCCCAAAATGTTAAATTTTATGAAAGTCGGTCCGGTTAGGGACCATTTAAGGGTCCTAAGCCCAAAATAGTCAAACTGGAAGCTTATCGGTCCATTAGGCCCAATAAAGAAATCCTAGTCCATAATGAATTAAACCGGGATTCCTAGGGTTTCCAACCTTTTGTTGACTATTTGATTGTTTTTATAGAGTATTTGATGGAATTTTGCTGTCATTGAATAAGCATCATACATGCTTTCAAGTTTTAGTTACAATGATATCCTTGTTTAATGTTTACAAAGCCTTAGAATTCCTAGTTGTGACATGTGGTGAGGACTGAGGGGTTCGAATTTTGTGGTGCTATGTGATAGTAGATTGATCTCTGGGTGGAGTTTGATGAACAGATGGAGTTTTAGACTTAGAGGTTTCTTCATTTCTGTTTTCTTGTTCTTCATTTGGATCACTTTCACTCCCCCCCCCCCATTTGAGGAAGCAGGCTTCAGCTGCTCCTCAAACCATTGCATCAGTCTTTTTATCTTCTCAAAGGTATCATTGAATTGGTTTTTCATGAGATCACAAACATGTTGGTTATTGGGGATTTCATACTTGAAGAGGAGTTGGTAAATTTCCTTATTGAGGAGAAGAATTCCATCAAAACTTTGGTTTGTTGTGAGAGATCTACGTAAGCCTTTGATGGTATTTTGCAGTACCGCATACCCTGCTTCACACGTAATGTAGGTTTCCTCAATAAGATTTTTGGAATTGCTTTCTTGAGTCTGCAGTGTCTGTTGGAGATCATCTTTCAACTTTGTTACCTCTTTAATGAAGTCTTTAGCTTTGGACATAAAATCCTTATGGTATGCAGTCTATTTATTATCAAGATCTCTTATACCCATTTTAACTCTCAGAATCGTCCGCTCTGCGGCCATTCTTTCCCTTGTTTCCAGTCTTTCAACTCATTCAATGAATGACTACGGTTTGGGAACTATAGCATTCTGCGGTTTGTTGGTAGTGATTGCGGCCAAGATTTGGTCTACTTTAATCTGCAGATTGAGGAATCCTTTCCTTGAAACCACTATCTTCTTTTTCTTCTTTACCTTCGGCTTGAAGTGGAGTGTTGGGATCTACTTGATTCTTCATTGTCAATTATCATATTTAACTCGTCGGAGAGAGGAGGTTGTTGAATGTCTTCAAAGTTGTCATCATCAAGTCCAAATATGGGAGCTAAACTCATTTCAATTGTTGTTTTGTCGTCGTTGGAGTCATGGTCTTCTTCAGTGGGTTGAGGTTTGGATGTGCTAACAGTTTCCTCCATAGTAGACATCCACTGTTGAATGGAAAGAATGTCGTGAACCATTTCGGAATTATTGATGGAGGTGGCCTAATATCATGCCACTTGGACAAGAGATTCCTCCTTTTGTTGTTGTTGTTGAACTTGTTGTGCTTTCCTTGCCTGTAGGGCCCTTTTAAAGGCTTCAAACTTCCTGATTCCAGACTCAGTCATTGGGCGGTATTGAGACCATGACTCATCGGATGCGTAGCCGTCAAATCCTTGATTCGCCGAGGTGTCCCTCAAGTTCATGGATCCCTGCACATTTGTGCTCACCATGCATAGACCGCTTGAAAGTAATTAAG